AGCTCCCTCCACACTCCTGTGCAGACCACCGAAGAGGCAGCATGTAACTTGTCCAGCTGAAAAAGGTACTAAGCCATTATGGCTAACATAGATAAGAATAATGGGTTAAGATAAGTCATAAGAACTAATAAGTAGCCTGACCTAATGGGCCAATCAGCTTTATAACTTATAGAGTTCTCTGTGTGATTGATTTTCCTTGGGGCTTGCCGGTTGTGGGGTACTGGTCGGGACAGAAACCCCAACAAGCTGGCCCCTCATACTACACCATCACTCATCCATCACCCATCCATCTGTCCACCCTCCCACCCACCCATCCCTCCATCGTCCATCCACCTACCCATCCATTATCAACTACCCACCCTTCCATCTATCCTCCCTCTCACCTGCCCATCCATCTACCCATTATCCATCCATCCATTTATCCAACCTTCCATCCACCCATCCATCTGCCCACCTATTCACCAGCCCATCCACCCATCTACCCATCATCCACCCATCATCCACCCGTGTATCAGCAGCTTACACAGCAATTGTTAGCTGTGCTGCGGTTCTTTCTTCTCGTCTATGGAGAGACTTCAGTCAGCCTTTGGAGTGGAGAGGCTCCTTTCCTCTCCATGTTCTCATTGTTCCCTCATCCATCCCACAGGTTTTCTCTGCAGTCTGTTTTTTTTTCGCTTTCCTGGCCGCTTGCCATGATGGTGCCCAGGATTTCTCTGTTTACTTTCCATAGGCCACATGGCTCTTAGACTGTCCGCCTTTTCAGGCTGCCTCTGGGATAAGTCGATTTGATAGATCTAAAAGTGAACATCATTTTTCCAAACCACACCTTCTCTACAGCTTCCTTTTCCTTGTGGACAGGTCCCTAGTATTGTCATTTGTCAGTGCACATGAAGTCCTTCCGTGTGCCCTGATCTGGATGCTACCCTGATGCTGCCTTACTAGCTCCCGGATGGGAATGGACTAGTGTCCTAATCTCTCTTGTCCCGGCTCTCAACTGCAGCTCTCCACACAGCAGACACACAGTACATGTTATTTAGATCAACGAATGAACACATGCACGGGCTTCTATTTTTATATTTGGCCAGAAATCTGAGGTCATCCCTGGTCCCCGCCCCCCATCTTTGTGCTCCTCAGTAAATTCATCTAGAACATAATGCACACGAGGACAAGATGTCTGTCTGTCTGGCTTGGTGTGATGCACTTACATCCCTGGGATGTGCTTGACAGGAGGGTACACATTTGCCTCTGCAGAAATACTTGAGTGTGTTTGACCCACAATAATTGATTCCATCTTTGTAGAAAGATGTGCAGGTAGTGGTAGGGTGCTGCTTTCCTAAGAGGCAGAGAAATTTGATTGTTAGATCCTTGTTCCTTGTCGGAGTGCTGCTGAAAGGTGGAGTTGGGTATTCGCCCCCTAACTACTAAGTGCTAAGCTGTACTACATGCTTAGTCTGTGGGGGCACTCTCCTAGAATCCTGTGCCTCCTACACCCTTTGTCATAGAGACCTCATAGTTCAGGAGGTGGTTTTGGATTTGTTCCTCTCTAGCCTGTGATCTCACCCTTTGTCCCCTGCCTCAGGACACCCAGACCTGTGTATAGCTTGCAGCTTTTGGAGCACACAACATTTAATGGACATGTCTCCCGAGGGTTGTCACAAGCTAACATCTCTGTGCATTTCCCTTTCTGTAGACAACACTGGCAGCCGGACGTTACACTCCCGAGCAGAGACGACACCATCACCCGCCAGCAATGCTGGGAACGGACACCCAGAGTACATCGCGTATGTGCTCGTCCCTGTTTTCTTCATCATGGGTCTCCTCGGTGTCCTCATCTGCCACTTGCTTAAGAAGAAAGGCTATCGGTGTACGACGGAGGCCGAGCAGGAAGTAGAAGAGGAAAAGGTGGAAAAGATAGGTAAATAACCTTCGCTTTTTTTTTTCCTAAATGGGTCGATGAACAGGCACTAGATAAAAAATTCATATATAGTTAATTGTTTTAAATGAGGAAACTGTATTGTCTGTAGCAATTGGAGTTTGAACCCTTGCCTACATTTGCTGAATACTTGTTGAGTATTTACTTCAGCGCCTGGTAGCCTTGGGCCTCTTATTCTCACCAGGTATATTTCTTTCTAATTTTATTGACCTTGACTTTAATGAGGACAGTCTCCACCTTGAAGGGTTATTGTGAAATTTTGAGGCAAGGTGTTTTGGTGACTGGCACCTCTAGCCACTCATAAACCTTAATCCTTGCTGCTACTTACTGAGTAAGATTCTAATAAGAATGGTAGGAACATGAAACGAATCTACCAGGTCTGTGGTGTTTGTGTTACGGGAGGAGGGGTCCTAGCTAAAGTCTGTATGAGTAGATGTAGGCATAGGGCAGTAGGAGGTGTGCGGCCAGGACGTTTCCATGTGAGTGTCAAGGCGGCTCACCTTTCCCTCTGCGCATGCACTGATAGGTAGTGTTGGGGTAAGCCCCACAGAGGCTGTTTTCCTGGCTGATATTCCTTTCCAGGCACGCCGTGGGGAGGTTTGTTGATGGGCCTGAGGGTCTAGCGGATCACTCTCTAGTCCGCTCAGCCACTCTGTGGCATCTTTGTGGAGAGGTGATATTTGGAGCTGGTCACCTGTAGAGCATACCCGCAGGGCCCATGGGGGAAGGTTTCTCAGTCCTTGCCAGCCTGCCGGACTGTTGATTTTTCCACCCTCGATGACCTTTGAGGCTGAGGCACACTGGTGACCATGATGAGTCACCAGCAGCAGCGAGTGAGCAAGCCAGCTGAGTGTTTGTCAACAGAGCAGAACCGGTGGAGGCTGGCTCAGCCAGCAGCTTCCACTTTGACTGTCCAAACATCAGTGGGCGTGGGAGAGAAGCTGCCCTTGGGGTGCAGAGGGCATTCCTGCAGGTCCAGGGGTGAGCCATTACCCTGCTCCATGCGTCTTCCTTAGGAGGATGTGGCGTCTCAGTCCAGTCTCTTTCTTCTGTCATGCTAAATAAATTATACAGATCGATTTCCAAGTGATCTTTGTTCCTCCTCCTGCTGACTGTCACGTGTACTATTGGTACTGTACTGGGTTCTCAAAGTAAACTGAATTTGTAAACAAATAACTAGTACCCAAATTTAGGTATCTTGTTTAAGGGGAAAAATTGTGTTTTATAAACATGGGTTAATACTTACTAATTCAATTGAAAACAAGTCAGTAGACCAGCTTTAGATAGTAAGTCTGCAATTAGGTCAAAGTCAAGGAAACGGTATTTTTTTCGTGAGCCTTCTTCTTGTTTCCCCTGAGGGTTATTAGGTGAACATGAGCAGTGGGGCCAGATATAAATGCATTATGGTATTATCATACAAAACGAGTGGATGTTTGAGCTTCAGGAGAGATTGAAGGACAGCCCTGAGCCTTTTTCTTTTAATTTATAAATGTGCTTCTCCCAAGGAACTCAAACTGTGATACTGAGAAGGTGGGGGCTGAAGGACCAAAGCCAGAGTCTCGGCACTGGGTGAGGGTGCTTGGACTTTCTGAACGTTGTTCAGTGATGTCTTGGGCTCTAAGATGATGTCTACCTGACTTGGTGGTGACATTTGTAACACTGTCCTATTCTTTTTCTCTTTTAGAGTTGAATGACAGCATAAATGAAAACAGTGACACTGTTGGACAAATTGTCCACTACATCATGAAAAACGAAGGTAGGAATATGTTCATGTTTGGGGGTGTTTCACTCTTATTACAAATCTCCCTAGAGTCAGAATCTGAACGGCTTCTCGCTGCTTTTATCTGAGCTCTGTAATACCTCGGCTTTTAGCACTGTACCGGGGGCGTTTCCTTGGTGAGCCTTTGGTGGCCTTAGCATCACACAGAGCCAGCCCTCAGGTTGATAGCTTCTGGTCACACTGCCTCACCATGGCTCGGCTGTGTGACTACATGACTTTGTAAAGTCTCAGTGTCCTCCTATAGAGTGAGAATCACACTCGCTACGCAGTGCTGTGGAATAACACACACGAAGTGCTCGATGTCATGAGGGTTTACATTTTACCTGCTTTCTGTTGGCCACACTTAAAAATCGTAATAAGTATAAAACATAAAATTTACTGTTTCAAGGAACTGGGGAGATGGTTCAGTGGGTAAATGCTTGTTTCATGAACATGAGGTGTGAACTTGATCCCCAGCACCCGCGTAAGAACTGGAGAGTGGCAGCAAGTTCCTGTAACTCCAGTGCTGGGCAAATGGATACAGCAGGGTTGAGTGTACTGACCAGCCTGTTTAGCCAGTTGGTGAGGCTCAGTGAGGGAACCAAGAAGAGGGGAGTGACTGAGGATGATGCCCACTTTGACTTCTGGCCCCCATGCATGCATGTGAGGACATACGCTCTCACACATCACACACACAAACACACATCTCACACACACACACACACATCTCACACACACACACACACACACACACACACACACACACACTTTCACTAGTTCAACCATTTGGAAGCAGAGAATTCCGTAACATCCATGTCCATTCTAAGTGCTACACAAGCATCACCACTGTTCCAGAACTTCCTCAATATCCCACACTGAAATATGCACGCTTTCCTCCCCGTTCTTTCCTCCCCAGCTGCTTACAAACACTGCTGTACTTCCTTCCTCTATGGTTTGATTCTTCTAGGAAGGACTTCAGCATTAGAACTTAAGCATTTTTTGTTTTGTTTTGTTTTGTTTTTTTCCCATATTTTTTCTTGAGATAGGGTCTCCTGTAGTCCAGGCTGGCTCTGAACTCAGTGTCTAGCTAAGGATGGCCCTGAATCCCAGGTCACCCTTCCCCTGCCTCCTAAGTGCTGGAATCATAGACCATGCTCAGACTTAGGAAATTTGTTTTAAGCCAACTTCTAAAGTGAAGAATTCAATTGTTATTAAATAAGTTAGGGTCATTGTTCTGAACCATATTATCTTCAAGGTTATCTTAATAGGATAATGTTTTCTGTTGGTATAACAGTACCACAAGCTTGATAATTTCTAAAAAACAAGTTTATTTAGGTTACCATTCTAAAGGCTAGTGAATCTAAGCATGGGGCCAGCTTCTGCTTGGCATCTGGAGAGGACCTTCATCACTGCATTCTGACCTGGGAACATGACAAGACATAGCAATCTTGTCAAAAAGAACTTGCTTTCATGACAAAACTACTCTCTCAGTAATCCAGGAATCCAAGAGCCCATGAGTGGGCCGGTGTGTTCATTAGGGCAGAGCCTGGCCCAGTCACCTCGAGGCCACACCTCCAAATGCCATCAGTATGACTTTGGGGGATAATGTTCCCATCACATGAGTAAATTTTACGACATACCCAAACCAGAGGAGATTCTTTGCTCTTAGTAATTTTTAAGGTCTGTGGCACTCCTTGTCCCTTTGCTACGGTATGTGCTTCCGGCAGCAAGTACCACCTTTCTGCCGTCAGCTTTTTTCTGGGACTTCCCACCCCCCTTATATACTCTTCAGCAAGAGTGCCCACCTGGTCCAGCCTAAGGTTTTCACCTGTTTTCCAGCAGTGCTTTATGTCTTTGACTTAGATCTGGTAGTTTACTGTGTGATCTCTTCTAACTCTTAATGCATCCGTGTAAAGTTGGCATGTACTCAGTTTACAGGTGAAGGAAGGGAGGCTCCGAGGTTCAATCTCACATGGCTAGTGCCTTCCGCCTGGTTCCAACTACAGTATCCCTTTCAACCGGACGATACTATTTCTCTCTTTCAATTTTGATAGTTTGCAAAAAAAAAATAGCAGATAAACAAACTTAGAAATATTTTTAGAGTAAGATCAGAAAACAAGAATACTTGGATTTGGGTCTGTCTTTCCGAGGCTTCCCTTCAGGGCATAGGGTTTGGCAATGCTGAATGCAAGCACACTAGTTTATAACCTAGGATTTTTTCATATTGACTCTGAGGCTAAATTTCTTCACTGTGTGGAACAAGCACATTGCTATCCCAGCTTGTTTTCTGTTAGCACAACTTCACACTTTATTCCAACTTAGTTAGACTCCAGTGTTATTTTCCAAAACAGATACCCTCTATGTTTGTAAATTATAACTATACTTCAAATTTTCATAAGAAATTTAAAAGGAATAAAAGGAAGCACACTCTCTCCATTAACATTTTCCCACGTTGATTTGCTCCTACATCATACAGTTTCAGATATTTCCTGTGTTGATCTGGGAGCAGTTTTCTGCACTGCATTTTTAATTTGTCAGACGGGTAAATTTAATCTGTAGTCCAGAGAAGGGAATGAAATGAGATGGAAGGTGTATACACTTAGAGGCCAGAGTCCCAAGGTGGCATCCTTGCTTAGGGTTTAAGCATGTGCCTTTAGTTTAGAAGTCAGTTTTAGGTTAGGTCACTGCCCCTCGGGGGTCGGCTCCAGCGCTGACCTGCCCCTGCCCCTCGGGGGTCGGCTCCAGTGCTGGCCTGCCCCTGCCCCTCAGGGGTCGGCTCCAGCGCTGGCCTGTTGCTGCCCCTCGGGGGTCGGCTCTAGCGCTGCCCTGTTGACCAGGCACACTCGGGGGTCGGCTCCAGCGCTGCCCTGTTGACCAGGCACACTTTCTGTTGTGCTGTCGCTGTCACACTGAGTATTTCTTAAAAATTGATTTTAAATTGTGTGTGTGTTTGAATATGTATGTGAGTTTGTGTGTGTGTTTGGTATTTGTATATCACTGTAGATTCCTGGAGAGACTAGAGGTGTTAGATCTCTGAGGAATTCTAGTAGGTGAGCTGATCACGGGTGCTGGAACTCTAAGCTGGAGTTCTCTCCTAGAGCAGTGTGTACTTACTCCCTGAGTCATCTCTCCAAACCACACGACGTAGGGTGTGTGGAGTCTTCCACACCAAGCAGTTCTTCACCTCTGAATGCCTGCTCCGTGTATGTTTAGTTCACGTCTGACTCGGCCGGGGACTGAGTGTGGTTTCCCACAGGTTAAGAGCCTAGTTCCACAAGGCTGCCCTACTTTACATGTACTTTACATGCCAGTTCTGTCCCTCTAACTTACACGCTAAGAAACCTAAGAATTTCCACAGTCCCCAACCCAGGCTTGCTGATTTGCTAGTGTGGCTCACAGAACTCAGGGGTATACGGTTAGCATTTAGCAGTTTGTTTAAAGGATGTAACATGGGAGCAAACAATGGCAGAGAGGCATGGGGCCAGGTATTGGGAGCCAGGGGCTGGGGTTGAAAGTTACCTTCCTCTAATCATGGGCATTTCTGATTACCGGCCCCACCCTGACTCATCTCATCAGTGTAGACTCAGATATGATGGGGAGCGCATTATGAATAACAAAAGACGGTCCTGTTTGACTCATGATGTTCACTCAGTAAATTCTCAGGGTGTTGAGCTCTCTGACACACCCACACACTGATCATTTTCTCCCCAGTGCCGAGTATTTGAGTAACCCTAGTGCTGCTATCTCTTAACTTATCCTGCCCTATAGAGCCCAGCTGAGCAGTGTTTGTGTGGTCATGCGGTTTTCGCGCATTGTATAGAAGTTTCGAAAGCATTAAGAACTAATAAATAATTTGGCATTTTACTTATTCATCATTTGTATGGAACTGTTTTCTCAGGTAAATTTAAACAACTCTCTTGAATGCTTACCATTATAAATTCTATTGCAGCCAGCATTGACATCATTCCCTTTCTTGTTATTTTTTCTCCTCTGTCAAAGTGCTGGAGAGATGGCTCAGTGTTTAAGAGCACTGCCTGCTCTTCCAGAGGACCTAGGTTTAATTCCCAGCATCCACATGACAGCTAATAATTGTCTGTATGTAATTCCAGTTCTAGGGACTCATGGCAAAACACCAATGCACACTTAAAAAAAAAAAACTTAACATTCTCTTCTGTCAAGTTTGGTAACCGATGACAGAGTGCAAACTGGCCATTTACTGTGTATTTTATATAAGCCACATACGAGACTACGTACCTCTGTTAGTTCGAAACATACAGAGCTGGTGCTTCTCAAAGGAAGAGGGGTTGCTGTAGCTTGCAGTTTGGAGGATGGAAGTCCAAGATCAGCAGCCTCATTGATCTGACCCTGGTGAGGGTCCACGTGGCTGGGTCACGTCTTAGTGGATGGCAGCATGTTGGAAGCATGGGTGAAAGGAAGAGAGCACACGTTAGCCAGGAAGCCAGAGAGAGTCTCCCTCCTTGTGCAGGTCAAGCACACGCTCTGCCGCTGAGCTACACCCCCAGCCCTCTCGTTTTTGTACCAACCCCTTCTTGAGGACTGAGGGAGAGCGCCTGACTTCTGAGGGTGGTGTCCCAGTAACCTACTCACCTTCACTCACTGTTCAAAGGTTGGACCATGTCCCCTAGCGCCACCCCCCACATGACCAGTGTGTGCCATCATGCACCAAACTGGAGGGAGAATAGCATCAAAGGGTATGTTGCCAAGGATAGCAATAATAGTACTTACAGAAGCCCTACTAGAGACCAAGCTCTCAACACAGGAATCTTTGGGAGATGCACCACATCCAAACCAAAGCAAACTCCAACCTATTACTTGAAAAAAAAAAATATTTCCCTGGATCCTCATTAACAGTCAGAAGGGAAGATGACATACGTCACAGGATTATGAAGTGTGTTTTGCATAGTCAGTGTGTCTTTTCTGTTGTATGGGTGGAGATATTATGGTCTAATTTTAGTGCTTTTTAAAAAAAAAATAGCAAGCGCTTTTGGTTTTACATCAAAACTTGTGTTTCGCAGTGCTTTTACACAGCTTCACAGTTGTGAAGGGCAAAAGTACTTTTTTAGGAAAGGGTGACATGTGTGAGGATTTCTATAAAACACGCTCCTCCCCCATGGGTTTCTAAAAGGGGCAGTGAGTTGGTTTTGCTTCCCAAGGTAGTGAAAGTCGGGGCTCATGGAGCAGCCCCAAATGAAATAAATCAGAACAAGACCTTCACTCTCTCTGATATGTAAGGCAACAGATATGCTATAGGTCATAAGTGGGTATGAATCTCTGGCCTTGTATTGTCATGAGAGGATGGGGAGGGAACAGAAACGGGGCAGGGCTCAACGGAAGTCAGACTGTGAAGCACACAGAGCGTGTGCATCCTCACCTCTCAACAGTCCCAACATCAGCTGGAACTAGAGTTAGTTGTCCTCTGGGAATGTCATTTGAGTGTAAAATGTTACATTGGCTCACATGGTAAATAGTAATTTCTTTTTATTCCTTCCTCTCTGGAGAATTTATTGCGATAAGTTGTGAGAACAGTGCTTTAGAAATCCATGGAAAGGTTAGGAGTTGGTAACAGCTTTTGGCCCTGGCAGTTAAAGAGCTGAAAGACACTTGACACTCTCAGGGGCTTTGGCTGACCACCGTGTAAGAAGTAGGAATGTAGGGCGTGGGTGTGGGTCAGGCCTAAGCGCTTCAGCTCAATTTGCCTTTGTTGACAACTCACGTACTTGGGATTTTAAAGAGTGAATATTGTAAGTCAAAATTAAGTCCTCCTATGTCACATGAATTTGAATTATTTGTCCTGACTTAGGGGCTTTTGTAGTCCAAGAGGAAAGCAAAGGCAGTTGGCCAAATGGAAAGTAAACCTTCCCCTTTCTTCATCAGGGACCCTGGAATGTCCTCGGGGCCCTGGGAACGCCTCTGTGAACTGGAGGAAGGCCTGAGGTGTTTTCACCGACAACTTTCCTAACATGGTGACTGTGGTTACTCACTCACCTCAGTTAATTCTCCTTCATTTTCTCCTCAGCGAATGCAGATATTTTGAAAGCCATGGTAGCTGACAACAGCGTGGGTGATGTTGAAAGGTGAGTCTCTCTTCCTACAGATGGAGACAGTTTTCCCTTATCCAGATTGATGTCATTGGCAGTCCGCTCAGCTCGAGCTGGCCTCTAGCCTTGAGTGCTATTGACATTGGAGGTCAAACAAGTCTTGGCTGAGAGTAATGGCTGGTACAAGGTGGAGTGTTAGACAGAATCCCCAGTCTCTGCTCACTTGGTGACTCAGCTCTACTTACCCTTCAAAGTGTGACGACCTAAATGTCTCCACACACTGTCAGTATTTCTTGGGAGGCCATGGCCCTGTGACTGGAGTTCGCAGGAGTAGGGTCAAGAACCACTGGGTGTTGAGGGCGAGAGCCAGGGATTAGAATAGAAAGGAGACAGGAAACGGGGACCAGAAGTTCTTTTGTAAGCTGATGGCTTATGCTAAGTAAGTGTATTAAGAAGCATGGCATCTTCTATGCAGTTTTCATGGGGAAGATGGGGTACAGTCAGTGGAAAGCTATCATACTCCGGGGTGAAGTCAGCAGAAAGCCAGTAAAGCAGTGTTGCACAGGGGAACACAGGCCATCCCAAGTGTTCCACAGACTGATAACCGTAGCCCCCTAGGTGGGGAGAGTTGAGCTCTCAGGAGGAAGTTGAAGCTCCTCCAAGACATTGTCCCCAGACTTTTGCTGCCTCTAACAAGCACAGTCCTGTTTTTAGACGAGGAGCCATGTTCTTTCTCCATACATCAGGGCCTCAGAGAAAGCCTTGGATCAGCCTGGCTCCTGACAACCCTGGTTGAGAACTCCCGTGTTAAACAGTAGTTCTGGAGAGAGTGAAGTGAGTGGTTAAGAGCAG